ATATGTATGTTTTTGAGTTGGAGCCTCACTCTGAAACCCAGGCTGGAGTGCAGTGGCATGCTCATGGCCACAGCAGCCTTGACCTGCTGGGCTCATGTGATCCTTCCACCTCAGTCTTCCAAGTAGCTGGAACTACAGGAACGCACCACCACACCTGGCTAATTTTTTGATTTATTGTAGAGACGTGATCTCGTCAAGTTGCCCAGGCTAGTCTCAAACTCTTGGGCTCAGGCAAGGGTTGCTCGGGCAACCCTCTCACTTTGGCTTCCTAAAGTGCTGGGATTTCAGGCATGAGTCACTGCACCTGGCTACAATAATTTATCTTAATTAATAAACTTACTTGCCTTCTCCTCTACACCGTGAGCAACTCAAGTTCAGGAGTGTCTTTTTGTATTCTCAGTGCCAAGCATATTGCCTGACATATAACTGGCACTTTATAGTTTTTTAATGACATCAAAAACAAAAGTTTGAAAGCAAATTTTTAAAGACAGTAGTTATTTTTTCTGATTAAAACCAAGAAAAATGCACGTATCCATGCACACAAAGATGTTTACTATAGTTTCAGGGCGATCATGGGATATCTGCTTGCTCTGCCCTTCACAGACCCTCAAGGAAACCAGAGATTCTAGATTAAGACATTTCTAGGTTTAGATACACAATCATAGGAGAAGTGAATAAATCTTTGGAAACATTCTCCATTCCCAATTTTCATTAAAAAAAAAAAAAAAACACCATGTTCCTTTTACCTACCTCAAGCAGGAATTTCAGTACACTAGGGAAAATAACTCTTTGATGTTAAGAGCTGCCCCTGGCTAGTGTAACAATAATGTACCCTGCCAGGCTCGGTGGGTCACACCTGTAATCCCTGTACTTTGGGAGGTTGAGGTGGGTGGATTGCTTGAGCCCAGGAGTTCGAGATCAGTCTGTGCAACATGTGAAAGCTCCCCGCCCCCAAATAAAATAGCAGGGCATGGTGACACACGCCTGTAACCCCAGCTACTCAGGAGGCTGATGCAGAAGGATCACTGAGCCCAGGAGGTCCAGCCTGGGTGACAGAGTGAGACCCCGACTCAAAAGAGTAATAATAATAAAATTAAATTAAAAAAAATATCTATACAGTTTCAGTTTCATTTACAAATCAGATAATTTTGCAATTATCATAGATAAATGCATCTTTATAGCAAAAGGTAATTTTAAAGAAGGTATGTTTATTTAACATTTATGAGCTATTCACTAATGGTCCAGGACTGTGGCGAGCATGGGACAGAAACAAGCCTCACATCACCTGGTGGTATGCATGCATGTTAAACCTAGATATCTGAATCAGATTTTTGCCTCTGTGTATGTGTGAAGATAGCAGTGGGAGGAATGGGCACAGAGCAACTAGAAATTCTGTAAGGGAAGAAAACAAAACTTTATTCATTCTATAAGAGCTTTATTATGATCATAAACAACTGTTAGTCTCCTATCCTCAATTCCCAGATTATCTACAAGATTGATAATTTCTAGAAGAGTGCTTATGGTGACAGATGAAGAGAAAGGCAACCTTAAACTACAAACAGTATCCTCGCAGTAGGAGGGAGCTGTGACCACTTAAATGTCATTTTTAAAAGCCAGCATGTGACTATTTCACCCGAGTGATGTTTTACTGATTATCACCTTAAAGCTGTTGCATCATAAACAGCTTTGGAGGAAATCTCAAAGCTGATTGGCATAACATCTACTCAAGGCAGGGATCCTCTCTGTAACAATCCTGGAAGCTACAGGCTTTTAAAAAAAATAACTCATTAACAGCTGTAGAACGTATTTTTAATCAATACTTATTAGAAACTCCTTCCTCATACTGAACTAAAGTCTTCTATTTTTCAAGCATTTCTCTAACCTTTGACTTCTGATGCAATGAAAAATGTCTATTCTCTCTCCCATATCCTTCAAGTGCTTGAAAGCAATTATCATTTGTATTTCTGAATTTACCTCCAGACTGAACTTCTCTAATTCTTTTATGTATTCCTCTTGAGAAGTACTTTCAAAATCATCACCATCTTGTTCCTGCTCCTCCAAACACTGTAATTCTTGGCCAAAGTCTGCTTAAAATGTGACACCTAAAATGGAACACGATATTCTAACTGTGATTGATCTTACCAAGCTGGAGTCCAGAGAGATTACTCTTTTGATCTGGACACATACTTCCATTAATACTCTTGAAAGGCCTTAGTTCTCTCTTCTTGATCCCTCCCAAGGTGTGCTGTATTGTGGGCTTACATTGGAATTTGGCCAAATAAAACTGCCAAATCTTCTTTGTTCCTGGGTACCACTATCCAGTTAGGTTTCCCCTCTTTTTACCTTGGCAATGGAATCTGTGTAATTTCATTTTAAGTTTGTCTCCGCATCAAGATAATCTTAAATATCTCATTTAATCATTCCAGTTCTGTTGTCTGTAAATTTGATAACTTATTTTAATGAAATTTCTTGTGTCTTCAGCCAAAGGACTTGAAATTACCCTCAGTTTAACATCAATCATTATTCAACTCTGCTAGGCTGTTTCAATAGCTGGGAATCCATCTGGCTATTATTTAGTCACATCTTCCATCTTTGCCACAAAAATGTCAAGATGTCAACAGAGATGTCAGTGTCTTGTTAGATTCAGTGAACACTGTTCTTTTAAGCCATTTTTCAGCCATAGTTTCTCTGAAGACAAATGCTAGAGACATTTTATCATGGGAGTAAAATTTTAGGTGAGCCTATTTCTGGACTCTGAAATAAACAGCTAGAATGGGTGTCAGTTAATGCGAGAACAGGAGAGCCTACTTTATATTTACCCCTTCCCTTTTCTGGTATGTACACCTTGGACCAGATGTGTTGAACCTCTATTATATCAGGAAATGGAACTACAAGGTGAATTCAACCAAGTAAAAACTCAAGTATCACTTGTTGGTGGGTGTGCATGTATGTGTGATTGTGTTCACTACCCCAATTTTTCAGATTAAAAAAAAAAAGGCTGGGTGCAGTGGCTCAAGCCTGTAATACCAGCATTTTGGGAGGCCAAGGTGAGAATATTACCTGAGCCCAAGGGTTCGACAGCCTGGGCAACTTGGTGAGAGAGACCTTGTCTCTACAATAAATTTAAAAAACTAGCCTGGCTTGCCTGTAGTTCCAGCTACCTGGAAAACTGAGACGAAAGAATCATCTGAACCCAGCAGATTGAGGATGTGATGACCATGAACGTGCCACTGCATTCCAGCCTGGGCGACAGAATGAGACTCTATTAAAAAAAAAAGAATAAATCAAATCAAATCTCTATTTCCAGCATTATTATTATTATTTTTTAATTTCAATAGCTCTAGAGGTACAAGTGGTTTGGGGTTACATGGATGAATTGTATAGTGGTGATGTCTGGACTTTTAACGTATTCATCACCCAAATTGTGCACAATGTGCCTCACAGGTAATTTTTCATACCTCACCCTCCTCCCACCCTCCCCTCTCTGAGTCTCCAATGTCCATTACACCACCCCGGATGCCTTTGGGGATCCATAGTTTAGCTCCTACTTATAAGTGAGAACTTGCAGTACTTGGATTTCCATTCCTGAGTTACTTCACCTAGGATAACGGCCTCCAGTCCCATCCAAATTGCGGCAAAATACATGACTTCATTCTTTCTTATGGCTGAATAGTATTCCATTGTGTATATCCACCACATTCTTTTTATCCACTCATGGGTTGATGGGCACTTACGTTGATTCTATATGTTTGCAATTGTGAATGACAGCATCATTCTGAATATGTTGGAAAAGGCTACTTTTGCCTCACATTTAGATTTTATAAACTTTGCCTTGATGTAGTTGGTACTGGATAACCACTTAGATGGATCTGTTTTCAGTGGAAATTTCCCCATTAAAGATGACTCAAAAAATAAACTTTGGATGTCAACTGTTTTTCAAAGAAACTGGAAGTATGTCTCTTTTGCCTTTATTCTCACCAACCATTTGTTAGATAAGACCGATTCAATCTCCAGGGGCTAACCAACGTCAGATGGGAGCCACATGACTGTAATGATGCCGACTGGAGGGAAGAAAGAGGCTGTGGCCATGTGTTTATCCAGAGGAAACGGAGATTCTCTTTTAACCTTCTCTGGAGCTCAGCTACCTATGCTTAAAAACACTTTGAGGAATTAGTATTTGTTATGAACTGAATGTTGGTGTTCCTCCCCAAGTGCGTATGTTGAAGCCCGAACCACAATGTGGTGGCATTTGGAGGTGGGGCCTTTAGGTTTATTGATAGATTGAGTCGCCCTCCAGTCACCCAGACTCGAACTGCTGGGCTAAAGCGATCCTTCCTCCTCAGTCTTCCAAGTAGCTGGAACCACAGCCACACCATCATGCCTGGCTGATTTCTTGATTTATTGTAGCGATGAGGTCTCACTAAGTTACTCAGGCTGGTTTTGAACCCCTGGGCTCAGGCAATCCTCTCGCCCTCAGCAAGAATGAATCTACTAGCACCTAGATTGTGGGACTTTCTGATTTCCAAAGCCGTGAGAAATAAATGTCTGCTTTTGAAGCCATCCAGCCTATGATACTTTGTTTTAGCAGTCGGATCTAAGACAGTATTTTAATGTAATTTTTAATGCAACTTCCTTGGAGCAATAAAATTTCAACCTGACAGAAAAAGAATAAACAGGCCAGGCTCGGTGGCTCAGCCTGTAATCCCAGTACTTTGGGAGGCCGAGGCGAGCAGACTGCCTGAGCCTGAGGGTTCAAGACCAGCCCAGGCAACTTGACAGGACCTCATCTCTACAATAAATAAAAAAAATTAGCCAGACATGGAAGCACGTGACTGTAGTTCGGGTACTTGGAAGGCTGAGGTGGAAGGATTGCCAGAGTCCAGCAGATCGACACTAGTGGCTGAGTGTGCCACTCACTCCAGCCTGGGCGATGGAGTTGAGATCCCAACTCAAAAAACAGAAAAAGAAAAAGAATAAACAGTCAGACTCAAACCAGCTGATCCAGTGGGGAAGCAGGATCTCCACAGACCTTTAATTCATACACAAAGATTATATGCAAAACAGTAAAGTAGAAAAGTAAGTCATTCTCTACTAGGTAAGGCATTTACAAGTACAAATATATTTGTATTGTTTTTCTCTGAAGGGCTATTTTCTCAATTTTGGCCTCTTGCACCATGCAGTTTGTCATCTAAAGAGCTAAAGACACCCGTTTTCCATCACGCTAACTTTAGAGAGGCAAGACCTTGGTGTAAGTAGCTCAGGTGATAACTCATGACAAGTTTTAGTTATTTACCTACGTAACATGCAACATTTATCGATATCAGGTGGCATAACATCAGGACTTTCCTTTCTCTTTTCTGTAGCATCTTAAAATTAAATCTTTAGGAATCAAGCCTATTGCACATTAGCAAAAGATGTTTAAGAACTTGCCTTTAGTAACATAACAATGCTTGAAAAAAACCTGAAACAGGTCTAAATCTCCTGCATTAAGACTTTATTATGTGTGGCTCAGTCCACAAATCTGAATTATAAATTTTTCCAATATTATTACAATTTTTTATGGTTATTCACCACTCAGAGCATCTCAGTGAAACTCCATGCTCTGATCTGGAAACAAGAACAGGTAGATGGATGGCAACATTCAAAGAGGCTTTAAAAAGTAAGCCCTAACTTTCGACTTATGTTAGATAATTTTTTGTACATTTACTTTTATTGCTGTTCTTTGGTAGAGTTTAAATATTAGAGGTAGACCCTAAGTAAAAAGAACACCATAGAACATTTGTTCTCAAGCATTTCCATTTTAACATTAAAATATGAAAGAAATGTGAGTTCATTCCCATAGATAATAATATAACTTTATTGTGTGTAGCCTTTTCCACACCAATTATTAGTCTTTTCATGAGCAGTAAGATTTAAAATGGTAAAGTTATCGTTAAGGAGACACGCTGGGTAATAGAAAAAGCTGAAGAGAGTTTTTGGTCTGAAACTGGAAAACAGAAGAGTCTGAGAATAAAAAGATATGAGGAAACTACCATAGGTTGCTAAGACCACACAAACAGCTTTGGGGACCCTAGGGGGTGACACTGAGTGAGTGTAGGGAGAGAAGAGGGGGCAAACTGTCTCAGAGGGGAGGGTAAGATTTCATGTGGATATTCAAGGGATCTGCTTGGCAATTAGAGTCTTAGAATTTCCTTCCTTGTCACTACAGTTCTCGATTTTCCCTGCTGTCTATAATTTTATTATGCAGTGTAATAACTTTTTATTTAGCACAAAGTCCACTTGGACTAGAGAATAGAGAGGTTCTAATTTTGTTCCTGGCTAGCAAAGTCATACTTCAGGCATGCACTGGGAGACACCTGAAAGACCTATGCAGAATACATTTGAAGTTTTTTTTTTTTTAATTTTTAAAAAAGTTTTTATCATTCTGTCTTGGTTTCCTTATTGAATAGACTCCCAGAGGAAAAATAAATACTGTGAGTTTACTGGTCTGTGGCAGAACTAGAATTTAGGTCCACAATAAAGAGAATTAAAGAGAGAACCAAGGTTCATTTAAAATAAAATCACCAGACAAAATAGGCTACTGAAGAGTCTTTTCTCCGTGGTCAAGGCTGAGCACACACACAACAGTTTGGAGCAGCTGTTCTCCAACGCTTCTGGAGTTGCTGAACTCCACGCACCACATCAGCCTGGATCTCTTCCCATGACTCTCTACAGAGTCATCTGACCTGGCTACCTGCCACTTTGGGCAAGGTGGTCAGAAGGAGAGGCAAAGTCCCTAACACTTATTAGAAACATGAGAATAGAAAAATATGCTTGGACTTGCTTCAGTATTCTAACTGGGAAGTACGCCAAAAGACTTGTATGCCGAAGTGGAAATGAGCCTCTAATACAAGATAAAAAATCCTCTATTACAAGATTCAAAAACTTATAATAGATATTAGATCAGTTTAGTTAAAACACAATTTTCTGATACTCTGACTGGACATTAGACAGAAAAGACAAATCCAAATAGAGGAACATCATTTAAATGTGGCAGAAAGCTGGGAATCAGGAGGCCTGACGCACAAAGATGAATACGTGATGGACGCATATTCCCCTGGCCTTGAGGTACTTGAGCCAAGGAGAGGTCACACCTTACCATGAGACAGAGGATCAGAGCTGATGCAGGGCTCCGAGAAAATAATTCCAGAGGAATATGATTCATTTATCAGTCCAGAAATCCCAAGTACAAAACTTCAAGATACAAGAAGGATCAAATTATATTATGTATATGATTCAATTTAAAAATTCTTAGCCCTCTTACATTATATTATCTAGATTATAATAGTAAAAAATCAAATTACATTCATATGAAACTTTTATAAAAAAACTCAAATCCATTTTTATGAAATTTTATAGTACAATTACTTTCTAGTGGGTCTTTTCTTAGTCACAGTATTTATAATTCCATTTACATCTTTATAATTTTTAAAATTAAGAATCAAACAACACTAATCGAAATCTCCATTTTCATCTGCAAAACTCCCTTCAGTTTCCAGGGCAGCAACACATGGCGATATCAACTTGTCCTCCAGACATGGACTGCGACCAAAGCGCCCCGGTTTATGAGGCATGCAGGCCTCGACTCATTAGGAACGCTTTTTGGTTTGGCTCACGTTTCAAGAAATTGTGGAGCATGTCCATGCCGTCCAGAGATCCTCCAGGTTTCAGGATTAGGTTTCTGTATTTCATTCCAACCTAATAAAATAAAATACCATGCCTAATAATTCACGGTTATAGCAATTTTCTAAATCTCTAGATGCACAAAAGAAAGAAGTAGGAGTGATGGAAAAGGGACTTTAGCTCTCTTCTGTCTAGATGTCCTTTTTTGCCTACACCACAGCTCTGTAGTATCTATTTATTTTGGTAGCCAAGTGATTTGAAGCTGAAAATCAGGTCTCTACAATGTCCTTTATTATGATCTTGTCTCCTTAGACTCTCAGTAGTGAGTTGACAACATGAATAAACAAACAAAAATAGCCAAATGGAATACATAACATGTTCCTATTTGTGCGATTTCAAAAGGGTTAGCCGGAGCCCAGCAGGTCGAGGCTGCGGTGGCCGGAAGCATGCCACTGCACTCCCAGTCTGGGCGACAGAGTGAGACTCCAACTCAAAAAAAAAAAAAAAGAAAAAAAAGGGTTAGCAAAGCAAGTATCCAAGAAGGTTACAGATGGGTTCTGAGTACCTGGAAATGTAGCACAGCTACTGTCAAGTGACTTGGGCTGCTTTTAATGAGGAACTCATTAAAAACAAATAAGCAAACAAACAATAAGACTCTTCCTCATGGACAGGAAGAGGGGAAGAGAGAGCACAGTTTGTGCCCTACGGTGTAGGATAAGACATTTCTGCGGGCCTGATGATGAGAATGAGGACCTTGGTAAAGTTTTCTTTGGGGATGAAGATTTGGAATTTTAAAACATATCAGAGTGGTTGTGGTGGCTCATGCCTGTAATCCCACCACTTTGGGAGGCCAAGGCAGGAGGACTGTTTGAGCCCAGGAGTTTGAGGCCAACCTAGGCAACATAGTGAGAATTTGTCTCTACAAAAAAATTAAAAAAGTAGCTGGGGGTGGTGGTTCATGCCTGTAATCTCAGCACTTTGGGAGGCCGGGGCAGCAGGATTGCTTGAGCCCAGGAATTCAAGATCAGCCTAGGCAACACAGACCTCACCTCTACAAAAAAAAAAAAAAAAAAATCAAAAAATTAGCTGGGTGTAGTAGTGGTATGCACCTGTAGTCCCAGCTACTCAGAAGGTTGAGGTGGAAAGATCACCTGAGCCCAGGAGGTTGAGGCTGCCGTGAGCTGTGATCCTGCCACTGCACTCCGACCTGGGAGACACAGAGAGACTCTGACTCAAAAAACAAACTAACAGCATATCACAGTTCCTCTTTTTTTTTTTCCTTTTTGAGTAGAAGTCTCACTCTGTTGTCCAGACTGGAGTACAGTGGCATGCTCACGGCCACCGCAGCCTCAACCTGCTGTGTTCTGGTGATCCTTCCACGTCAGCCTTCCAAGTAGCCGGAACTACAGGCACGCATGACCATGCCTGGCTAATTTTCTTTATTTATTGTAAAGACGAGGTCTTGCCAAGTTGCCCAGGCTGGTCTCAAACTCTGAGCTCAGGCAATCCTCTCACCTCCACCACCCAAAATGCTGGGATTACAGGCTCAAGTCACTGCACTTGGCTAGTTCCTCTGCTTTTATTTGGATAAACACATGAACAGATAAAGTAAAAGAACACAGCTGTTATTCAGTATCAGCATTATTCAATATTTTCACTTCCCCTTCACTGTCCTTTTAGGGAAGCAACACAAGACAATTCAACGAAGCATAATTCTAAATATACTCCTAAAATAAACAGTTCACAGAGTAACACTAAAACTTGTATCCACTATATCATTTAATCAATAGGACTAATCCACTCTTTTGAGTGTAAGAAGAGCTAGGGCCGGGCACAGTGGCTCACATCTGTAATCCTAGCACTTTGGGAGCCCAAGGTGAGAGGAGTTCATGACCAGCCTGGGCAACATAGCGAGACCTCATCTCTACAAAAAATGGAAAAATCAGCTGGATGTAGGGGGGTGTACCTGTAGTCCCAGCTATTTGAGAGGCTAAGGTGGAAGGACTGCCTGAGCCCAGGAGGTTGAGGCTGCAGTGAGTGGTGATCGTGTGACTACACTCCAGTCTGGGCAACAGAGTAAGACCCCAATGCTAAAAAGAAGAAGACGGAGAAGGAAGAGGGGGAGGGGGAGGAGGAAGAGGAGGAGAAGAAGAAGAAGAAGAACAACAGCAGCAGCTAGAACATTTCCAAATAATCTTGACATTTGACTTATAACAGATTTTGATTGGTACAACCATCAGAGGTAAGTACAGTTGAACTGTTAAAGGAAAAGAAAACACGAATGACCTAGTTAGGTGTAAAACCACTTAATGTCCCACAGCGCCATAGAGTCAAAACTTTTGGGGTTACCTTTTGGTTATGAACAGAAATCATTTGCAACTTATTAATCATCTACAGGCTAACATCTAACTTCACAGTGTAAAACCTAATCAAGAGTAAATAATTAATCAAAGTTACCATCTCATAAACTCTAGGGTAGCACTGTCCAATAGAAACATAACATGAGGTATATTACTTTAAATTTGCTATAAGCACATTTTTTAAAAGTTAAAAAAGGGTAAATTTAATTTTAACAAAATATTTTATATAAGTCATTGTACCCGTAACATGTATCATTTCAGCATGTATCAATAAACAAATTATTGAGATTTTTGCTGCTGTTGTAAATCCTCAAAATCTGGTATGTGTGTGTGTGTATGTGTGTACGTGTTTTGTTTTTGAGTTGGAGTCTCACTCTGTCACCCAGGCTGGAGTGCAGTGGCAGCTCATGGCCACTGAAGCCTCGACCTGCTGGGCTCAGGCGATCCTTCCACCTCAGTTTTCCAAATAGCTGGAACTACAGGCACGCACCACCATGTCTGGTTAATTTTTTTATTTATTGTAGACCCAAGGTCTCACCATGACATCTAGGTTGGTCTTAGACTCCTGGGTGCAGACAATTCTCTCACTACAGCCTCCCAAAGTGCTGGTATTATAGGCATAAGCCAGTGCGCCCGGCTGTTTTTTACATTTATGATTCCACTCAATTCAGTTATTTAGTTGCACTAGCCTCATTTCAAATGCTCAACAGCCTCAGGTGGCTACCATATTGGACAGGTCTAGGGCCCAGAGACTAAGAACATCTTTAAGAGGGTTTGTTGCATGGTATTCAAGTATGATATTGAAAAGGCACACAGAAGTCTTGTTGCCTTATTTACAAGGTTGGATAAGTCTTCTTAGAAAGAGAAGGCCTGAACAGGCATGGTGGCTCATGCCTGTAATCCTAGCACTTTGGTTGGCCGAGGTGGGAGAGAGTTGCTTGAGCCCAGGAGTTTGAGACCAGCCTAGGCAACATAGTGAGAACTCATCTCTATATCTTAAAAAAAAAAAAAAGAAAGAAAGAAAAAGGGAGAGAGAGAGAGAAAGAGAGAGGGCCTATAATTCTTGATATTGGACTTCCTGAAAACTTCAGTTATGATGACTTGGAGCTAGATTCAGTTTGCTTCAGGAGAAAAAAAAGGACATGTCATTTCCTGCTTGGTCTACAGCGATCCATTACTATTAGACAGGATTCTAGAATCTAAAATGTGAGTAATGGCTATTCTTGTCATAGCTTTATTATTCTAAGAAGGAGCATATCAGAGCTCTTGGGTCTAACCATGGTTTACCACCTTCCTTTTCTTTCATTGCCCAATGTACCTACATTTGACCAGTGTTAAATCAGTGAGTAGAGCAATGAAAGATTGTGCTTTCTGGGTACAGCAGCACAAGATGAACTTAGAAAATGTGAGCTAAATTTTTCTGCAGAATTACAAAAACATTTTAAACTTTTTATCATGGAGAACTTAAAAAACAGACTAATAGTAGAGACAACAGTATAATGAGCCTTCATGCACCTATCACCCAATCTCAATATTAATATCTATCTGCAGAAATTTTTAATGCTCAAGATATATGCACTGCATATATTTAATTTATTAAAAAGAAATACTCATTCCACAGGTGTTGTAGAAACATTAATGAAAATCTAAATAAAAGTTTTTAAAAGTTACTCCAAATGCTAACATCTGACAAAGTATTTTCATTTTGTGCAAATAATTGTAATTTCAGGTAGGAAAGAGAAGCAAGCATTTGCAGAATTACATGGCATTGTCAAGAGCCAGCTCCTGATTCCTCTGGATGGTAAAGTCATTTGAGAGCAAGGCACTGCTCAGTCTCACAATATTGTGGCTCAGTGCAGCTCAAGTCTTCTTCCGCTTATGGCTCCAAACAAGTTGATTCAATTTCCTGAATTACGGAGCAATGGCCTTTTAATAGTTTCATTTCCTTTGCAATGAAATTTTGAGAAGAGTTTAAGAGTCATTTTGGTAACAGGATCATACCTTTCTTAAGAAAAAATAGTTAAGTGAATTTTTGTGTTTTAGGAAGGTACCAGGCTCTCTGGGTGAGAGAACATGGTCTGAGAGACAAAAGCCACAGGTGGAAGGAGTCTTTGCCATAAGTCGTTCTATGTTGTTTATACGATAAAGAAACTGTAGCTGTGAGGAAATCAGGAAGAGAAGCTCTAAGAAAACTGCTAAAATTTTTCCTGCGACAAACATCTTTTAGGAGGATCTGCATATAGTAAAAGCTCCTATATCTATCCTATGAAGGGAAATCAGCGTCATTCGCCTCTGTGGTTTTTAATCCTGGAAGGTTAGCATGTATCTTTTGGCAGTGGTGCAAGTGTTCTCTGACACTCTTTCTCTTTCTTCTTTTTTTCTGACTCTTTCTTCTTTTTTTGACTCTCTCTCTCTGTTTCTTCTTTTTCGACTCTTTCCTTCTTTCTTCCTTTCCTTCTTTCTCTCTTCTTTTTTTGAGTCAGAGTCTCACTCTGTTGTGCAGTAACACCATCACAGTTCACTGCAGCCTCGACCTCCTGGGCTCAGGCAATCCTTCCGCCTCAGTCTCCTGAGTAGCAGGGACTACAGGTACCTGCCTCCACCCTCAGCTACACTGATGGTTTCCGAAACTTGATCAGGAGCTCTGGAGTCAGGCTCAGGTTTGAATCTTGGCTCAGTCCTCAGCTATGTGATCTTAGACCTTGATTTCTTTAT